CCTAAATAGCTGATACGTGGCCTTTATAGCACTGTACTACTCATCTGAGCTATAAAGAGAAAGCAATGGTTGCTCTTACCAAAGAGGAATAAAGAGGTCCCACAGGAATAGAAAGAAAAAAACCTTGCCTCTGATTATCAAAATGTGTAGGTCTGGCAATGCCAAAGCTATGAAAAGCCTGGATATTTAAGAACACAAATTAACCTTTCAAAATGTAATGAATATTTAAGGCAGTTAGTTTTGGGAGTGGGATATAGCTCAGTGGTAGAATGCTTGTCTAGCATGCACACAGCCCTGAGTTCGATCCCCAACACCACAATAAACAAACAAATCTGAAAAACCCTACAATTACTATTGTTAGGTATGGTGGCACATGCCTGTAATACCAGCACTTAGAACATGGGTAGGAAGATCAGGAGTTGAAGGTAAGCTTTGGCTACATAGCAGTTGAAGCCAGCAGCCTGGGTTCCATGACACCCCTCTCACCCTTTGCCCCCTGCAAAAGATAATTAATTCAAGCTAAAGTGAACAAACCAAATAAATAAGTTTTCTCTTAGGTAGGTTATTGAGGCAGTGTGTACCTTAGAGAATTAGCAACCATATGTTTTCTGCCAACTTAAGAAGAAGGGCAGAAAGGCACACTCTGCTCAAGCTGTCTCCATTGCAGCAAGACCCCACTCGGGGTTGCTGCTGGACTGCAGAGACTGTTAGGCAGTGGCTCACGGGTACCAGAGAAAGTGAAGAGGAACCTTTGGCAGTGGGAATTAGAATAAACCTTTGCTCACAGGCTTTTTCCCCTGACAACCAGGCTAGGGCAAGGGGGTCTGTTCTACAAGGCAGGACTTTTCAAGCCTCATGTTCCTTGGGTTGGAGGAAATGTGTGGAAGGGACATATCATAGCACATATGTAGACCATATTCACTTAAGGATGATCTTGCTTTCTTCTCTTACTCTCTGCTGCAAGAGTAAGTTTTAGAATAATTGTAGGTGGCTTCTTATCTGTGCATTCACCCAGAAACTAACAAGCCTGTAAAGGTAGGACTTGGCGGAAACTGCAGAGAGCAGCTGGCCTGGAACTGTCATTGACATCATACTCTATGGTAAGCTCTGGAGATTGCTTTTGTTTGTTTGAAAAGGTTTTATTCTGCAGCTCACACTGGCCTGGAATTCTCTATACAATAGCTCAGGCTGGCCTCAAACTCATGGTAATCCTCCTCCTGCTTCAGCCTCTTGAGTGCTGGGACTACAGGTGTGTGCCACCACACTCAGTTTGCACTCCATAGTTCTCAAGAGTCCTTCTACCCAGCACCTGCTGCTGAATAAGGTGGGGACACTTCCCATTCCTTTCTAGTGTCTCTACCAATACAGAGATGCTTTTTTTTAAAAAAAGGATTTTTGTCTTGCTATGTAATCAAGGCTGGCCTCAAATTCAGTATCTTCCTACCTCAACCTCTGAAGTGTAAAGTTAAACATAAAATTTATTACATTTTTTTTAAACTTATTTGTGTGAATGGGGGGGCACTTGAGTTCATGACAGGGCACACATGTGGTGGTCAGAGGACAACTTGGGGAAGTCAGTTCTCTCCTTCCACTATGTGGGTTATGGGAAATGAACTCAGGTCATCAGGCTTGGTGGCGAGTGCCTTTACCCAATGAGTCATCTCGTTAACACAAAGACTTTCTTTCTAGTTGCCATATGGAAACAGGGTTTAAAAAAATAGGGCCATAGGTGTAGAGAGCTCAGTGGTAGTGCCCATGCTTAGAGTGTGCAAAGCCCTGGGTTCTATCTCCATCACCAAAACCCAAAACAAAACAAAAAAAAAAAATGAAAAGACAATATATAGAAGTTACAAAGGCTGCAGAGATCTGTCCCCACCCCGACCCCCGACCCTTGCTTTCTTTTTTAGCAGGTGCAAGGCTTGAACCTACAGCCTTATGTAGGCTCAGCCCAGATGTTGTAGGGTCTTGAGAAGCTATCATGCTTATAGCCCTGGAATAATTCCTGACTTCCTTTTTCCTGAGATGGTTACTGGCAGCCCTGCTAGGGTTTTGTTTTCAGTGTTTAATTCAGAAACTGGAGCTCCACCGGCAATCCCAAAACTTGGAAGGCAGAGGCAATAGGGCTGCCACAAGGTTTAGGCCAGAGTGATTTATATAGCAAGTTCCAGCCAGCTGGGGCTACATAGTGAGACCCTGTCTCACAAACAAGCAAGCAATAGTAAAAAGGAAAGTGAGTTCACTGAATCTCTTCTGTTCCAGGTTTCCTGGTCCAGTTTCTTTTTTCCCTCTTTTTTAGGATAATGAATTTCACTGAAATTCCAAGTGATTGTTCTTAAATGCAATCTAGAACAATTTTGCTTGTTTCCTAGACACCTGGCAATAGTCTGGGTGCACGATCAAACCCCAGTTGGTCCTCTTTGTTGATGGATAGATTGAGTATGACCTAAGTAGACTTCACTTTGGGATTTTCTACAGTACAAGATGAAAGCTGAACAGCTTGTTGCTTGAGGCTTGGAGAATGCTTGTGGGGGTCCTCCTGTGTGGCTTGAAAGGAAACAACACTGTTTAGCACTGGTGATGGCCACAGCCTTTTGTGAGCAGGAGGTAGAAGCATTACTTATATCTGGATGCTGGCATAAATGTGGTCCAGCCGTGTGATCTTTCAAATAAAACTTGAGGTTGAATTCCTTTTGTTCTGGTAGATAAGGGAGTGTATTGAGCTTCATGGAAAACAGACAAGGGTACTCTGACAGATGGGGAAAGGGTCACCCCACAGGAGGGAGTCAGCATGGAACTGGGTACTATAGCAACACCCTGAGAATTAGCCTATGCATTAAAGGCTTGTTTCATTCACTGGGTCTGCCCAGGCAAGGAATGGCCAGGTCTTTGTCAGACAACAGAGAAAAGACTGGGTTGCTGTTGTGTCATTTGAAAGTTTGGTTGCATGCAGTCAGCTCTGACCTGTGAGGGTGACCCTACTCCTGAATCTTACTTCATATAAGTATGCAAAACAGTGGGATTCCAAGGAGGGAGGCAGTAGGAGGGATCCACCCAGGTATGGGCAGTAGGCAGTGAAGGGTTTTGGTGATTTTGTTGTTGTTAGTATAGAATTTAAATATTTTATTATTTTTATTTTATGTGTATGCATGTATTGCCTGCATGTAGGTAAGTGTACCCCTGCGTGCAGTGACCTCAGAGATTAGAAGAGGCTGTCAGATCCCCTGGGACTGGAGTTACAGACAGTTGTTAGCTGCCATGTGGGTGCTGGGATTTGAACCCAGGTCTTCTGCAAGAACCAGTGTTCTTAACTGCTGAGCCATCTCTCCAGCCCCATTAGTACAGAATTTAAAAACAATTTTATAAAAACTAAGAGTCAGTTTTCTTTTTATTATCATTCCCCGCCATGGTTCCAAACAATATCAATAACATACTCCTTCCTCAAAGGGACAGACTTACAAACTTTTCTCATACACCTTGCCCCTACCCCTTGCCTCCACCATCTCTTGGTACATCACTGGAATAAAACAGTACCAGGTGGTAAGATTATAAATCAGAGAATAAACAGAAAGCAAATGACTCCTGAAATAAGTTTTTATTTTTCACTTTTGTGGTACTGGGGGGTTGTATTCAAGGCCTCGAACATGCTAGGCTCATTGGTCACTGAGCTGTAACATGTAAGGTCAAGTGACCAACATATGTAGATCATTATTTGAGAGTTGAACAATTCCATGATCTTTACAGTCTTTAAAACCATTGCTGTTGGACTGACCACAGTGTGGGCCAGAGCCTAAGAGTCTTCCAGATCTACTGTAATGTGTAATAGCTAGGCCTCTTGAGGTCTAACTCAACAAGGCCAGAAGATTAACATCTCAGCCTGAACATCCTGTTCGCATCCTTAGAACTGACAGGCATCAACATGACTCCCTTGGCTTTGCCAGTTCATCCACCTATATGTTTACAACGAGCTTTGGCTTGGAAACCCTGCCGAAGCGCTGGTTCGTTTTCTTCTCACTGTACATAGGTGGTGAGTAGGTGGGTCATTGTGACTGTCCACAATTCGCAGGCATGTAAACAAATGAGGTCATAACCTCTGGTCATATGAGGGCTTAAGCGCAGCCCTCTGGGGAGAAGCAGGACTACCTCTCCTTCCCGCCAGGCTCTTCTGCGCGGGGCCCCGGAGTCCTGATTCCGCCTTCTGGCCCTGGCTGAAGCCTCCAGTGCGTAGCTTCGGCCTCGCCACCCACGATCTCTGGGGCAGAAGCACTGGGCTCCCAGGTACCAGGGCGGATGGGGACCTGCTTCCTGTCCTACAGAGAGTGCGCATCCCCGCAAGGCGGACCCAGGTTCCCTCGGAAGATCCGGAAGTGAGGTGGCTTCAGCACCACAGCAGAATGAGGCACCCGGCGCCCCTAATTCTCCATAATAGACGAGCTGTATCCGTTGTGCCCCACTCTAGCCAGGGGCACGGAGTTCGGTCTTGGCTCGTCCTGCCGCTTGCCCCCCTGCTCCTCCCCCGGCCCCCATCTCGTTCAGTCCCTGCACGTTCCTGCTCCCCGAGGGTGGCGAGATGCCGGGCATGCGGGGTCCTCCACTCGCCCCGAGTGCGCCCGCTCGGCTCCCGCTTTGTTGCCCAGGCTTGTTTCTCCGCGGAGCACTGGGCCGCGCGCCAGGTCACGTGCGTTAGTGACAGCCTCTGGCAGGGCGGCCCCGGGGCCCCAGCGCCGCCGATTGGTGGGCCCGGGACTGGCGCGGTCAGGGGCGGGGCCGGGCGGCGGATCAGCTGTTCCCAGTGCTGCACAACAACAAAAGGACCCCGACGGGCCGGCGGGAGCCAGGGCAGCGACCAGAGGGCTGGAGCCCGCCCGGCTCCCACCGAACCCGGACCCGAGCGAGGCGCCGCCCGGCCCGCCGCAGCTACCTCAGCACCGCTCAGCTCACGTAAGTGCGGCGGGGCGTCCGCTTCCTCCCGCGGCGACTGCGGGACGGCGGTTGGGCGTCTGCTTCCTGCCTCTCCCCGGACCCCGCGGCGCCGAGTCCCCGCTTGGTGCTGGCTCCCCGCCGCGCCCGGCCCCTCGCTGCGACCTCCCTGTAGCGGGTCGCGCCCCGGGGCGGCAGGTGACGCGAAGCCTGCTCTGTTATTACCCGAACGCGCCACGGCCCGAGCGTCCGCCTGTAGCTTCCTGACCGCGCCGCACGAAGCCTGCACCTGTGGGAAGAGCGCTTCCGGCACCTCAGCACCGGTGTGTGGCTTTTACCGCTTAATGCGCTTCCTCGCGGACTGTCCTTCCAGCCGGGTAAAGCAAGTCTCATTTAACAGCAGAGACCGTCACTGTAAGGCCAAGGCCAGTAAGAAGCTAAGGTTTAACCACCGCAGAAGGATTTTAGGGCGGTTCTTTTTTATTCTATTTTCGTGGTGCTTTTGCTCCGCGTGGAAGTTCAGCTCAGAGTAGATGAAGGAGAACCCCTTTCCACCTGTATCTCCTAAGGACTTGGGCGGTCCTGACCAAAAGAGAGGGCCCTTTCCGAGGGCAGAGTCCTTAAGAGTGTGGCTTCTGGGGCTTTGAACAGAGATCATTACAAATGCCCCAAGATCTTGAGATCACACGCTTGGTAACTGCAGTACTTTTCATTTGTAGGTGTGAAAAGCACTAGGCAGCCTTTGAGTTTTAGTCTAAACTGGCAGCGCGATTCTCAAAGGCCCCTGCCTGAAACCTGGACCTACTAATTTTTGTGATCAAGTCTCTTTTGTTTTCTCATCCCGTCTTTTGTTCATTTCTGCTCCCTGGTTTCTCATGGGAATGGCCCTGCTTTCAAAACTCAAGGTTAGCAGGCAGTGAATTACTAAATTAATTGCTCTTTGTCCACTGTCTTCAGACTTTAGGGCACACAGTAGTGGCACCATAGGGGAATAAATTAGCTGACTAGGCAGAGTAGAGGTGGGACAAGAAAAGACAACTTTCTTGTTTTGCTTTTTTGCAGTTCAAAATTGATTTTTAAAATTCCTTGAATCAAAGCCAGGCTTGGTGGCTCACGCCTGTAATGCCAGTACTGAGGATGTGGAGGTGGGAGGATCAGGAGTTCAGAGCCAGCCCAGCCTGGAGTTGGAGGCCAGCCTTTGTCTCAAAACAAAAAAACAAAAACTTGAATTAGCATCTTTGTTTTCTGAACTAGAGAGGCACATAGGAAAAAATATTTTTAGTTTTTAAAATGGGGTCTCCTGCTCCAGTCTCCCAAATGTTGGGATACCTGGCTGAAGATAACTTTTTACATTTATTTATTTAATTTATTTATATGGGAGAAGGAGGTAGGTAAGGCATGCGTGTGGAGGTCAGAGGACCACTTGCAGGAACAAGTTTTGTCCTTCCACAGTGTGGATTCTGGGGATCAAATTCAGGTCATAGCGTTTGGCATCAGGCACCTTTTAAGCCATCTTACCAGCCTGTGAGAAAGATATATATTTTGGGGGGCGGATCTTTTTGAGACAGGATTTCTCTTCAGCCCCAGCTGGCCTGGAACTCACTATGTAGACCAGGCTGACCTCTGCCTGCCTCTGCCTTCCGAGTGCGGGGACTAAAGCGTGCGCCACCCACACGCGGCTGAGAAAGACAGTTTTAAAGTTGCTTTTCAGTGAAGGTATGTTTAGCCAGCTGCTATTTCGAAACCATCAAGGAGCCACACTGCACTCATCAAAGTTGTGGGTATTGTTTTTTTAATTTTTAAATGTTTTTGGCGCCGCCTGCTGGCAGCCAAAACCAACTGAAAAGCCCTGTTCGCTGACATTCATAGAACCAGAACTAAGGCTGGAAGGAGCCCGAGGTCATGTGCAGAGAAAAACAAGGCACTGGGGTTGGAAGGATTACTGCCCTGCTGCTGTCTCCAAAGACCAGCTTCATTTCTGAGTCTGTTTCCTCATCATACGATAGAGAAATAAGTATCTCAACTCCCTGTCACATATAAGCATTCAGTAAATTGTAGCTCTAGTTATATATGGACACTTTACAGATAAAACAACTCAAACCCAAAGATGGTAAGTGACTTCCTCAGTGTCACTACTGACTTGGGATGAACGTACTGAATGCCTACTGCTTGCCAGGCAACATTCCAAGTATCACACTTTTAATCTTCACGATGTTCCTGAGAGGCAGCTATTCTGCCATTTTCATGTTAAGGATGAAAAAACTGGAGCAGTAAGATGTGCCTAAGTATCTTGAACTCTCACTGGTTATAGCAAGAAGGCAAGGATTCCAAACCCAGAAGTCTGCCTCCCAATCCAGCCTCTGAGTATACCCCCTCTCTGCTATGTATCTCAAAACTGAGAAAATAAGTTATGCCAACAATATCTTACAAACAACTCCATTCTAAGTTCTACCTAGAATACTCTTACCCATAAGTAAACTCAGCTACTTATTCTGTCCACAAAACACTTTCACTCATTTCATATGAAAAGCATTACATTACACAACACAGGTGCACATACATACTCATGCACATAAAATAATTTTTTAAAAAGAAAGAAAAACAGGGTAAAATGTTAAGTAACAAAGGTAAAACTGTGACTTTAAAATTTTATGTGTGCCAGGAGTGGTGGCACATGTCTTTAATCCCAGCGCTCTGGAGACAGAGACAGGAGGATCTTTGTGAGTTCAAGGCCAGCTCAGTCTACATAGAGTTCCAGGCCAGCTGGGTCTACAGGGAGACCCTGTCTCAAAAAGACCGAAAAAAAAAAAAATTATGTGTAGAAGAAAAAAAACTAACAGGAAACGCAACAGTATGCTAACAATGGTCACAACAAGACAGTGGAAAAACAAGTATCTTCCTAGTTTTCTAAACTTCCTATAATGTGGCTTTGTTCATTTTATAAAGAAAAAGATACAGTTTATTTTTTTAAATGGATGGTGGATTTTGAGCCAAGCAGCAAAGGGTAAATCTGCCTTGATCAATAATTTGGCCCGCTTTGTTTCTTTTCCCTCCCAGAGGCTTCTGAGTACCTCAGAGCTACCTCATTCAGCTTCTCTTGCCTCTCTTTGCTAAATTCCAAAGCTATATTTGTAAATCTGTTGTCCTCTTGGGACTCATGTTTTCCCTGGAATTTTCATTGTCGCTTTACAGCTGCCCTAGAATTGTATCAGTCAGTGAGTATGTGGAGAGAAGTCTGAAGTCCTGCTTTTGCTTTTTATCTCCAAATAGAACCAGCCCCCTTCCAGGGCCACCACCCCAGGGTAGGCACTAAGGTCACAAAGAATACTGACTATCAGTGGGTCATCAGTGGGAGGACAGACCATACAATTTAGGGAGTTTCTTTTTAAAAATGATTTACTGATGTGTATATGTGTTTGTCTGTGCACATGTGTGCAGATTAACTGCAGAGGACAGAGGAAGGCATCAGATCCCTAGGGCTGGAGTTACAGGAGGTTCTGAATCATCTGATGAGGACAATAAAGAACTAAACTCCATCCCCTGTAGGATCAGTAAGCAGTCCTCACCACTGAGCCATTTCTCCAGCCCCCGGGGAGGTTTTTCTACAACAGCACTGCTTGTCCTCTATGGAGACTTAAATTTTCTGTTAGCCATGTTTATGGAGGAGGGGAATGAAACTAATTAATGCAATTTATTTAAACTTGTCTAACAAAAAATTATATTAACATATAATTGATATAAAAATTAATGAAATATTTTAGGTTTTTTTTTCAGTACTCTTTCAAATACACTCCAATGTATACCTTATACATGTGGCATATTGAGATGTGAAGTTTTCAGTGGAAATACACTGTATTTAGGGATTTGTTTTTCAAATAGTTTATTGAGTGCACACAGGAGCAGTTGGTTGGGCAATAATGAGAGGATTCCCTGCCTGGATCTGTATTTAGATGGTATAAGGTTTAGAGTTAAAAAGGTAGGTTCACACAACATACTGTTGGAGACATAATTGAAAGTTTTCTGAAGTTTAACTTTATTATCAGTTTATTTAAGTATATTAAAATTTAAATTCAGGGGCTGGAAAGATGACTTAGTGAATACTGCCTTTGCAGAGGACTGAGTTCAGTTCCCAGCACCCATGTTGGGTGGCTCACAACTGCCTCTAACTCTAGTTCCAGGGAATCCAACACCTGGCCTTTACATGTGCATATACCCACATACAGATACACAAACTTTTTTTTAAAAACTCCTCTAAAAAAAAAAAAAAATCATCAACAGGGGCTAGAGAAATGGCTCAGTGGTTAAGAGCACTAGCTGCTCTTGCAGAGGACCCACGTTCGATTCCCAGCACCCACATGGCAGCTAACAACCTTCTATATCTCCAGTTCAATCTCATGGGATTGTTCACTTGGTAGTGGCCTTGCTGGACAGTGTGGTGCATGGGTTGCATCTCCAACAGCTCCTTGCCCTTGGCAACACCTACTGAAAGCAGGGCTGGAACAGTTTTGCATAGTTAGACCGCCCTTACTTCTTGATTGTGCTGGAAGTTTGTGGGGCTCTCTTTGAGGCAATCCTCTGGAGCTATCCATTTCTCCCATTTTTCTCATGGTGAGACAGGCTCACAGAGTTCACCTCCACAGCTCAAACCACCTGCAACAATACCAGAGCCAGTGAGTGCTTCCCTATGGTGTCTGCTAGGGATCCACCTCTTCCCAAGCTCCCAAAGATGTGTCCTATAAATATCAGCAGTGACTCTCTGAGATAAAGGGTGAATCTTCCTCCCCTGAGGCTTCTGCACTGCTTGTCCTTGCAGACATGGGACACCTGGAAATGACCTGACTTCAAGAAACCAAGACTGTGACTGTGCTGTGCCTTCCAGAGTTCTTGAAGAGCAGCCCATTTTTGACAGTGTGCCAGATGTTCAGGCACATTTTCTGCCTTGTAGCCACTGATCAGGCCTGAGCCCCAGTGTCTATGCCCTCAGGCAGCATCACAGGTGGGGGATAAAGTTCTCACTGAGGGTGAGTGAAGGTGCCCCTATGAGGTTCTCCCCAGCCCCTGAAGCCCTAGCCACTTAGGGGACACAGCCTTGTGCTTGGGATGACTCTGAGCTTGTTCAGCAGACAGTTGTACTTGGGCTGATGTCTGCCTTCATAAACTAAGAGAAATGGGAAAACAGTTTGCAAATATCATTTCTCCCCCGTAAATGCTTGAAACCCTTCATTTATATCAAACCTTATGATGGCTAATCTTTTGGGATGCAACTATCACCAATGATGGGTCCAGCAAACTACACAGCCCACTTTTTCTCTCATTTCACATGGAACAGAGGTGAATATGAATTTGCTAGAACTACAGCCCTCGCAATGTGAGCACATTGCTTCCCAGAAAGTTTCAGGAAAACTGGTTATGCAAGTGATATTTCCTGTTTACCCGCTTTTAATAATTAATGGCTGAGGATGATACATTACACCACAGAGTGTCCTAATGTTATTTGTTTGAGATGTTTATCTCTGGTAGTAGTATGCCAAATAATTGTGGCAGTCTAGTTTACACACAAGGAATGGCACGAGGAGTCTCAGCTATGTAGCTCAGCTACCCTCATAGTTGATGATTTAAAAAAATGGGCTGGGCAGTGTATTTTGTGCTTGTAATCCAGGCTAAGGTGGGAAGATTGCTGTGAGTTCCAAGCCAATCTGGGTTACAGAGACCTTGTTTTAAAGAAAAAAAAAAAAAAAAGACAAGAGCCCAAAGTGATGGTTTCAAGGCTATTGCTTACAGTATTCTGTCATTTCTCTTGTGCTGACAGCTCCCTAATTTGTGCCCAAGACCAGACTCCTGAACTCCACATATTCTGCTGCCTACCTGACATCGGCAGCCATGTCATCATGCAGACTCCCCAAATTCAGCATGGCACTAGTGCCCAGCCTGTACTTTCTGTGGTATTCCTATCTTCTAAGCAGCCTCACTCCAACTCACATGGCTTAGCCAGAAATCTTGGTCTTCCTGTCTCATCCTGCCAAGTGCTGAGATTATAGGCATGCATCTCCATGCTTGGGTTTCTCTCCTTAATTTATACTGATAACATCTTACAGGATCTGGTCCTGCTTAGCCCCCAGCCTCCTTTTGTGACCCTCTCTCTGCATCCATTTGAAGAGTGCCATGTTCTCACTCATACAGGCTACCACAGTGTTCTGTCTCCTCACCTCCTTCCTTTCCATATCTCTTCAGCCATTCAAGGTAAAAGTACCATCCAATACTCTTCCTGCCATAGTATTTATTGCACTGGGCAGTTTCACTTTATTATTTTTATTTTATGTGTATGCATGTATTGCCTGCATGCAGTAAGTGCACCCGAGTCATGCAATGCCCAAGGACAGAAGAGGCCATCAGATCACCTGGAACTGGAGTTACAGACAGTTGTCAGCTGCCATGTGGGTGCTGGGATTCAAACTCTGATCTTCTGCAAGAACAGCCAGTATTCTTGACCACTGAGCCTTCTCTCCAGCCCCCTCATTAATATCTATAGAATAACAGTGGACCTGGCTAGTGAACTTTGCGCCAAGTACCTTGCTAAGCACACTGCCTGTATTACCTCACTTAACAAGAGAGTAGGATTGGGAACAATATTTAGCTGGCCTAAAGTAGAACAAAGGAATGGAGAACAGCAGGAAGGTTTGGGCTACTTGCACAGTGAGGAGTCCACAGAACTTGCTAGTAGTTTGGATAAGTAGCAGCAGAAGGTCGGTAGGAGGTGGCAAAAGGCAAGACAAGTGGTTGTTTGGTGTTCTTTTTTTTTTTTGTTTTTTGAGACAGGGTCTCCCTGTAGCCCCAGTTGGCCTGGAACTCAATACGTAGACCAGGCTGGCCTTGAACTCATGGAGATCTGCCTGCCTCTGCCTCCCAAGTGCTGGGATTAAAGGCATATGCAACCATGCCCGGCAGGTGTTCTGTCTTAATGACTGCTGGGGCTGCGGCTTCCTGAGAAGAGGATGGAGAGCAGTGTGTACAAATACAGTGTATGAATACAGTATAGGAACTTTTAATAACTGAAGTGTAACTTTGTAAACCTCTAAAAGGATCTTTAATTTTTCTTTTTTTTTTAGTGTGTATGTAGGTCAGGAGTTCGTTTTCACCTTCCACCATGTGGGTTCCAGGGATCAAACTCAGATCATTAAGCTTAGGCTTAGAGGCAAGTGTCTTTACCTGCTGAGCCAGTTTACTGGTCCATCTTGCTTTTTAAAAAAAATTGGGGGGGGGTCCTCTTTGAGACAGGGTCTCCCTGTAGCCACAATTGGCCTGGAACTCACTATGTAGGTCCACCTGCCTCTCCTAAGTGCTGGGACTAAAGGTGTGTGCCACCACAACCAACACCATCTTACTAGTCTTAAAGGAGAAAGTAGAAAGCCAGAATTTGAGCACCAGGAACCCATCTGCTAAGCTACTACCCAAAGAATAGTATTTATTACCAACTCTAGTTCTTGCTTGGGTCAGTTTTCTACCATGTAAATTTCTCCATGCCAGTAATAGGAATTGTTTCAAAGGCCAGAGTATGCTGTACTTTACAGATTTCAAACATAATTAGGATCTTTAAAATCACATGACAAGTACAAAGGAAGGAAGGAAAAATGAGGTTGGGAAGATGGGGGCTTGGCATCACGGTGGTTGTCAGACATTGTTGCTAGGTTCTATTTAAGACTTCTGCTGACTATCATATAGCACAACTGTGAATAATGTAAGATTTTTGTCCTTCTACTTACAGAAAAGGGATCCTGCAGTTTAAAATATATTGTTCAGAATCATCTCATAAAGCACAGATGTGAAAGGCTTTACTCCTTTTATTTCACATTTTGAGTTATTTTATAGATGGCATTTGAGCACTTATTCATGTGGTTTTGTAAATAAGAGCCACTCAGTGTCTCATGTTTCTACAGGAAGGGAAGAGCTAGAGAATGTAGGCTAAAGTATATGTTTTGTTCTAAGTGTGTGTGTATATATATGTGTACATTGGTAAAAACACACACATATGAATTGGGTGTGGTGTGGCACACCTGGAAAACCAGAATTTGGAAGGTGACGGCAAGAGGATCAGGAGTCCAGGCCAGGCTTGGCTATATAAGACCCTGTGTCCAAAACAAAACAGAACACAACACAACACAAAACAAAACCAACCAGGCTGGAGAGATGGCTCAGCAGTTAAGAGCATTGGCTGTTCTTGCACAGGACCTGGGTTCAGGTCCCAGCACCCACAGGGCAGATAACTGTAACTCCAGTTCCAGGGGATCAGACACCCTCTTCTGACTTCGACAGGCATTGTACAACATAGGTGCATTTACAGACATGCAAGCAATGCATGCACTCATACACAAATAAAACTAATAAAATATTTTAAAAAGCGTATTGAGGGCTAGAAAGATGGCTCAGCACTTAAGAACACTGGCTCCTTTTGCAGAAGACCTGGATTTGATTCCTAGTATCCACATGGCAGCTGACAACCATGTGTAATTCCAGTTCCAGGGGAATCAATGGCCTCTTCTGATCTCCGTGGACACTGCACGACATAGATGCACTTACACACATGCAGGCAACACTCATATACATAAAATAATAAATATTATTGTCTTATTTTTTAAAACCAAAACAAACAAAAGTAACACTTTTTTCTATTTTACTTTAGGGATGGTGACTCTTCTTGCTTTTCACATAAATTGAATAAGCACCCTGTGCACTTTAATCTCCTGTCTGTGCCATCAGGCTAACCGAAGACAGAGTTTTGAAATCTCAGCTATAAAGATATCCAGCCAAAGTCTCAGTCTTGCCTTAACCATGTTCCAGAGGCTGAACAAAATGTTTGTAAGTGAAGTCAACAGTTCTTCCAAACAAGAACCAGAATTTAGTGAGAAAGAAGACGATGAGTGGATTCTTGTAGACTTCATAGGTAAGGTCTATTCAGCTGTTAATCATCACAATAAAAGTGGCCTTTCATGAGTTATGTAGCTGAGGGTAACCTTTGAACTCCTGATTCTCTTGCCTCTACTACCCAAGTGCTGGGATTATAGATATGCCCCCATCACACCTGGCTTAAAAGTGGGAACTCTTGGGGCTAGGGACATGGCTCAGTCAGTAAAGTGCTTGCCACATACACACTTATATACATAGGAACATGCACACACCTATGTACACAAAAAGTGTGAACTCTTCAGGTTTTTTTTGGCATAAGTAAATGATTAACTGCTTTAAGGTTTAAAAGTAAGTAAATAAGAATGTCTAAAATATTTCAGGAAACATTTTGTCCCAGACAATCCACTCAGTGAAACTGAATGACATCAGACTTTGCAGTTTTGCAACTCTTACAGCCTGATCCAATCAGAGACACTTCAGTAGGGAAACCCTCATATTGGACAAGCAGTAACCCACAGGGCTCATTATATGTCTATTTAGCAGAATAGAAACAGTCCTAAAGCCATTCCTCAAAGTCAGTGTAATCCCAACACTCACAGAGGTTGGAAATTATTTTATCATTGTTAACAAGCAAATATAAATGCCTTTGTCTCTGAAACTAAAGAGAGGAATGGGAACACCAATTAATACAGTATTTTCTCCTTTTTCTATGCTGTGAATTTGATGGGTGACTCTACTGTGACTGACTTCAATATGATGATTATCCTCTCATTTGCAACATGGACCACAATCTAGATACTTGCACTAGTTTCTCAGCAGAGGAAGAGGAGGAGGAAGAGGATATCAGTGAAGAGTCATCTACAGAACACACTTCAGTCTTCTCCTGTTTACCTGCATCTCTGGAATGCTTGGCTGATACAAGTGATTCCTGCTTCCTTCAGTTTGAGTCCTGTCCAATGGAGGAGAGCTGGTTTATCACCCCTCCCCCGTGTTTTACAGCAGGTGGATTAACCACTATCAAGGTAGAAACAAGTCCTATGGAAAATCTTCTTATTGAACATCCCAGCATGTCTGTCTATGCTGTGCATAACTCCTGCCCTGGTCTCAATGAGCCCAGCTGTGGGACTGAAGAATTTCATAACTCAAGTAGTCCCAGGTATGTTACAAGCATTTTATTCTCTCCATAAACAGTCTGCTAAGCATGAATTTTACCTCTACATAGTTCAAAGCTGGGTTTTAGAAGATACAAAACTTTTTATTTATTAGAGATTTACTAGTTTGTATTTAGTGTGCAGGTTATTGGTGGTTAAAAACTTGGTTAGGGCTCAAGGTGGTGGCTCATGCCTGTAATTGCAACACTCAGGACACTGAAGCAATGTCATTTTAGATATTTTATAGTTACAAACTGTAGCATGGCTCAGTTATACAATAGCTGTCTCATTTATAAAATCATGCTACCAAAGGGCAAAAGACTAGTTTTTTTTTTTTTTAATTTTTGAGACAGGGTCTCCCTGTAGCCCTGTTGACCTGGAACTGTGTAGACCAGGCTAGCCATGAATTCACAGAGATCCACCTGCCTCTGCCTCCCAAGTGGATTTTTTCTTTTTCTAAAAGATAGGGTCGAAGCTGGGCGTGGTGGTGCATGCCTTTAATCCCAGCAGCTGGGAGGCAGAGGCAGGCAGATCTCTGTGAGTTCAAGGCCAGCCTGGTCTACATAGTGACTCCAGGCCAGCTGGGGCTACAGAGAGACACTGTCTCAAAAAGACCAAAAAAAAAAAAAAAAGATAGGGTCGCATATAGTCATGGCTGGCCTAGAACTCTGCATGTAGACCAGGCTGTCCTCACAGAGATCTACCAGATGTTTCTGCCTCCCAACTGCTGGAATTAAAGGTGCACACTACCACACCTGGCTAAGTAATAGTATTTCTGATAAGTATATTAGTATATAATTCTGGTATTATAAGCTAGACTGTTTAGTGTATCAGAATCAACTAAAACAGTGAATTTAAAAATTCAGTTTCTTAGGCCAGGTGTGGTGGTACACACCTTTAATTCCAGCACTCAGGAGGCAGAGGCAGGTGGATCTCTGTGAGTTCGAGGCCAACCTGGTCTACATAGCAAGTTCCAGGCCAGCTGGGGCTACAGGAAAATCCTGTCTCAAAAAGACCAAAAGAAAAAAAAAATTCAATTTCTTCTACATATTACTAGCTAAATCACTTTAAATGGTGCTTAACCTTAAAACCCTAAATTATGTATAAAGTAAAAAGCAATTTTATTATACCAAAGTATTTGCTCAAAGAGCTGTCTTCTGTTTTGCAGAGGAAAGATTTCATGTTTTGTTAGCTGTTGAAAGTGGTTGGGAGGGCTCTTTTTGAATAGCAGATGGGTGAGGGTCCAATAAACTCAGGGGAAGGAAAGTCTTGAAGATTAGTATGGTCCAGATCAACCTTCCAGCTATTCCTTGGCCTTCATCAAGAGAACATGTCTAGGGAATACACCTGAGGTGATTCTCGCCAAAATTAAATCCTGTCTCCATCTTAATCTGCTCAGTTCTGGCTAGTTCATCATGCACATCCATGGAATATGCTCCATGATATTAAACACTTGGTGAATGTTAGCCCCTAGTTACTCCTTCCTGTAGGTTGAAGGTTCCGGTGAATCTGCAGCCTTTGGAGTAGTTCACTGTCATCCAAAGGGTTCCTTTTGGGTCATTCAGGCTGTCACTCCACTAACTAGACCATTATATGTAGTTTGTTTCTTGTTTTCTAAATACAAACAAGGCCCAGGTAGCTCCCTAACTTGTGTAGAGTTGCTATACTCTTTAGGTCTTAGGTGTTCTTTAACAAGACTAATACAATTCATTTCCTTTTGCTTGTACCACAACAGAAAAACATGTTTTATATAATCCCCAGGATACCAGTTTATACTACACTATAAAATGGGACTTTACCTGGCACTTTATTCAGTTCCATAATTTTAGTGAGTGTTTTAGGCCTCTCAATAAAAATTTAAAATATAACTTGTTTGGAGTTGATTTAATTGCTTTGTAGTTGTTTTAAGCGATTTTCTTCCAGTCTTCAAAATTCTTCCCTAATGGTTCTGATTTTATCTCTGAGGAATCTACTCAAGAATTTAACAAGACAGCCAGGGGTGGTGGAGGCACACGCCTTTAATCCCAGCACTTGGGAGGCAGAGACTGGTGGATCTATGTGAGTTTAAGGCCAGCCTGGTCTACATAGTGAGTTCCAGGACAGCTGGGGCTACAGGGAGACCCTGTCTCAAAAAAACCAAAAAAAAAAAAAAAAAAGGAATTAGCAAGACTAACAAATGGTCATTTTAAATTATTTACTAGCATTTGTATATCTACTTTTCAATGCTAAAGTATACATGTGCTAATTGGCATCTTTGCAAAATAGCTTATTACAGCATATGTGCATTATCAAAATTTCAAATATGCAGAAATTCAAACTTTGAAATGACACCCTCATAATCAGTGGGTTTGTCCTTCCAGGTTGTTTTTCACTGTATGTGCTCACCAGTGCCTACCCACCCACACTTTGAACCCAAATGAGGGTATACTCTATGTACTATTTTATAATCTTCTTGTTTAGGCAAAGATAGCCAACATTTGCTTCAGAAAAATTTCACTTTATCTGCTTCCCAAATCATAATCTTAATTTTCTGCACCAGAGCCTAGAATCATCAGCCTTGTCCAAACCAGCATCTGTGCCATGTATATAGGTGTTAAATGTCTGCAATTTGATGCCACAAGAAAATTGATTTTGCATTCCTATATTATAAATATAACATGTAGGGTAAACAAATATACTTTTTCATAAATGAATTATCAAAGGCCAGGCATGACGGTACATGTCTGTAGGCCCAACTCTTAGGAGGGTGAGGCAGGAAGATGGCAAGGTCAAGGCCAGTCTAGACTACAGAATATTGATATGCCTATCTTGAAAAATGCATCAAAAGTGTATACTCAACTTGTTATAAGTTTTCTACACAAAGGAAATCCTAAACATTACAGTTTTATAACTAAAATGGGGTGCTTTTTAAAAAATCCTTATTTTTGGATTTGAAATTCTTTCAAGAAAGGTTCACTAGGGCTGGGTATGGTGGCTTGTACCTATAATCCCAACACTTGGGAGGCTGAGAGAAGAGGATCACTAGTTCAAGGACAGCCTGGCATATATAAATCAAGATAGAATCAGTTGTTACCAAAATAAGGAGACTCTTTATGTGGTAAACATCTGTTGTTTTCTGAACAAGCAATAAACCATGTATCTCTGAAATATATTGCTTACATTCTGTCTTACCTCAAGGATATTACCATAAACATAAGTATGAAGCTAAGTACTTACACTGGGCTTCAGAGTGTACATTTTATTGCATCTTAGCCTTTATAAATATTGTTTGTGAAAGTTTATGAGCTATCATAATCTCTTTAAATGACCCATAGTAAGTCAGTTTTAATAAAGAAAAATGACCATGTCCTAACAGTAAAATTAAAATAGCATTTTAAATCTTACTAGTGATTTAATAGTTCACCGTTTAACATTTGTAGGGCCAGAAAAAGCTGCTTATAAGACTCACGGGCACAGAGTAAGTATGTTCACTTTGACTGTATGATCTGTGTTATCAGTTTAAGCAGGGAGGCTAGAAAGTCAAATGCTTGCCTTCTAAAAACCATATTTTTTAATATTAACTTCTTTTTGTTTCTCTTTTTCTCCCATTGTTGGGGATTAAGCCCCAGGCCTTGAACATGCTAGGCAAGTACTCTACCACTGAGTTGCACTCCAACCCTCTAGCTTCTTTCTTTCTTTTTTTTTTTTTTATGATGTCAAACTATTTTATTTTTATATGTATATTGCCTGCATGTATGTAAGTGTACTGATGTCTTGCAATACCTGTGGCAGTCAGAAGAGGGTGCCAGATTCCCTAGAACTGGAGTTATGGACAGTTGTTAATCTCCATGTGGGTGCTGGGAACTGAATCTGGGTCCTCTGCAAGAGCAGCCAGTGCTCTTAACCACTGAGCCATCTCTTCAGTCCCTAATTTACATATATGTATATACATATATATATTTTTTTTTAAATATTTTATTTATTATTTTTATTTTATGTGTATGAGTGTATTGCCTGCATGTATGTGAGTGCACCCGGGTCGTGCAATGCCTCGGAGGTCAGAAGAGGGCTTCAGATTCCCCTGGAACTGGAATATTTCGTAGATCTTAATCCTATTTAGACCCCTCCCCTATCTGTACCCCCCCTAGAGCTGCTCCACTGGATTTCATGTATTCTATCATATATGTTAAGGCCTATCGAGTCAAGTTTCTGTCCCCAGATGTCCCTCAGTGTTGAGTTCATCCACCATAGTCTAGTCAGCCTATCTAGCATCACTCCCTTAAAGAAGGCCAACTCTCCCTCATCCAGCACTGATCAGCTACCAATAGTTCTTCAGCTAAGGTTAGAGATTCTTACCCATTTTCCTAGTTCTATGCCTGGTTTTTGTCTGGCTTGAGTTTGCAAAGGTCTTGTGCATGCTGTCACCATTGCTCACCACTGAGCAAGGAAAACTGTTTCCTTGTGGTTATCCACCACCCCTGGCTCTTATTCCCTCTTCCACAATTGTCCCTTGAACCTGTGCATGTCTCTGGATAGGACTCCTATATCAAACCCTCTAGTTTCTTAATGGGATCTTTTAAAATTCTGCTCTCTGTGTGTGTGTGTGTGTGTGTGTATAAAGATGATGTTTTCCTCAGGTAATGTTAGACAGAATATGCAACTGCCCTTTCTGCATAAAATAACTGGTAAAAATCTTAAAATTGGGCTGGGATGTAACTTGGTTAGTAAAGTACCGACCTAACATACAAGAAAACCTGCGTTCATTTGCCAGCACCAAATAAACTGAGCATGGTACTACCATAGTACCTGTACACCTGTAGTCCCAGAACTGAAGAGATAGAGGTGGGACAATCAGAAATTGAAGTCATTCTTGGCTATAAAGGGAATTTGAAGTCAGTGCAAGCTAGAGACTCTATCTTAGTCATTGTCTTCATCATCAGATTTATGCTGGGTATGTAGCTCAATGGTAGAGCACTTGCCACACACTGAAGCCTGGGATCAATCCATAGCACTGCAAAAAGTTAAAACTTTATTCTATGTGTTAATATAGTTTAGATTCTATTTGATTAGCATTTAATATAGAAAATATAATAATCATACTGTGTATAACCATACGATTACAAGTGTCAAAAAATGTCAGTGGAATTTCCTTATGCATTTTTCTATGAAATATAGATTCATATGTTACTTAGGACATTGTACCTATAGACAGAAATCTGTGGGGGTGCTGCTTGTGTAATACATTCTGATCAGTAAAATTTAAAAATTAAAATGTTTTAATTTTCTGGGCTGGGAGATGGTTCAGTGGTTAAGAGCACTGGTAGCTCATGTAGAGGACCCAGGTTTGAGTCCCAGTACCAACATGGTAGCTAACAATCGCCTATAACTCCAGTTCCAGGGAATCCAATGCCCTCTTCTGACCTCCGTGGGCACTGCACAACACAGGTACAACTTACATACATGTAGGCAATATACTCATAATACATAAAATAAAGATTAAAATTTTTTTTAATTTTTAAAATTTTCTTTTAATATGGTAAAAATAAAAACAGGTAATATTTGCAAAACAGTCTAAAGATGGGTGTAGTTCATACCTATATTTCCAGTACTTAGGAAACTGAGACAGGAGGATCAGGAATTCAAGGTCAATCGTGTCTATGTAGTAAATTCGAGGCAAGCCTGTATAAGACCCTGTCTCAGAAAATTAAAGTTGACAAATGCAGATATTCAATAGATGTCAGTTCTCTTCCTAGAAAAGTGTACTTAAATTCAAACTATTAAAAGCATATTTTTAACATACAGTCTTCCTTAGCTATCTGTGGACTATATGGTATGTTTCTATTAGAAGTTGACTTCTTAGAGACAGGTGTGAACATGCCTTTAATCCCAACACTGGGGAGGCAGAGGCAGGCAAGTCTCTGTAAGTTCAAGGCAAGCTAGCCTGTTCTACATAGTAAGTTCTAGGCCAGCTGTGGCTATAGAGAGACCCTATCTTAAAAAAAAAAGTTGGCCATTTCCCTCTACTACTATAAGCCAATATGATCATAAAACTTGTCTGTCAACCATGAGATGCTAAGTTCTCATCTAACCATAAACAAGTGAATGTGGCAAACCAAATTACTGTTAACTTTCTTAGTGTCCTTAATCAGCATACTCTGTTCTTTAAGCATTCCACTGTTATCCTTTTCAGAATGGAAGCCCAAAATGAAGTGGAGCAGCACGTTCACTGCTATGTTGCAGCTCTTACTGCTCATGCAACTTTTCTAGAACAGCCCAAGACCTTTCGCTCTTCCCAGTGGATAAAAGAACATAGTGAAAGACAGTCTCTGAACAGAAATAGCCTTCGCCGCCAAAATCTTACCAGGGATTGCCACTCACGGCAAGTCAAGCACAACAGCTGGGTGGTTCACCAACCCTGCCCACGCCAGTACAATTACTAAGGATTTCAAGTTTTGCTGGTTGTTTCTGGGTTTTTGCTTATGGATGTGGATGTGTACATGTACAATGAAAATGACCAATCACCTAGTGTATCAGTGTGTTTAGACACTATCTTGAAACCAGATTTCTGTGCTGTATACCACATAATGCCTTGCTCCTAACAGTTACTTAAATTTTTAGAATATTTTTGGAAACATATCAATACAGTTAGTGTTTGGGAATGTCTTTAAATATAGGAAGATGTACATGAGTTAGAATCTTAAAGGCATTTCTTACTTCGAGTATAAGAACAGGCATCTTTCAATTTCATTTATTTTGTATTATTTAATCAAACTTTTGAGTAAGCAAAAATTTATTCTCAGGGTCAGCCATACACTTTATTGACCAGTACTTGATAAGTCTTTTCCATATGTAATGAGTACATTTTTACACACTAACATGAGCATTAATAGGTGGCAGTTGCCATGGATATGATGGAATTAATGGCTAAATTTTCGTTGGAAAGAAAACTTGACATAGTTCTGTATGTGTGATTTTTTTTTTTTCCCCCAGATTAGTCATGCAGTTCATTGTGGAATACAGGTACATTAAGCTTTGGTGAACAATGCATTCAGCAATTGTGATATGATCCCATGACAGGGTACAGATATTATAGTTGTCATGGACAAAAGTACTTGTCTTATATGCAGAGGGAATTAGACCTGTGGAATTATATTTGGAAAAATTTATGTCTATAAATGACCCATAGACCAGTATTTAAGTTGTCTGGAGTCTTTCTGATAGCTCTGCTTGCCCAGGCACTCAATGACTTCAAACCTAAGACTGCCCATGAGAAAGGGAGAGAGAGAGTATGTGTGTAGGAGATCCTCTGGCATGGAGCCTGTCTTCCAAGAAGCAAGTATGAGAGGGGATTTCTGGTGGCATCTGTTCACAGCACCTAGGAGTGATGGGTTAGATTCCTTGAATTTTCATTTTTTTAACTTCACAAAATCTTTAACCACTTTGGCCTGTTTCCTCCACAGCAGGGGAGGAATAATACCTCTCTCAGTGACTGGAAGTGGGGCTATCAGAACTGAACTTCATGTGAACTTCAAGGGCCTTTATTGAACCTAGTGGTGTGAAGCTATGGCAGTTTTTCTGCCATAATTGTTTTTCACAGTGTTGGTGCTAATGAGGCCATGGTGAGGGTTTGACTCACACGTGGGCCAGTTTAATCGACACAGGAAAGTCTATTTTCTTCTAATTGGTCACTTCTTTTTTTAAGCAGTTGTGATGGGTTTTCGTGAGCCATCTACACTTAGAATCAACTTCCTAGGAAATCAAACACATTTACACCTTAAAGCACATTGTACTGATAGAATAGTAGCATTGCCTGTGTAATCAAACAGCTCATTTCCCTATCTCCCCTGCACCCCTAATTAAATGAACACATGTCTATGAAGTGTTTTTCAAGGAACAAAGCAGCATATTGTTATATGGCATATTATAACCTTATAGCGCTTGGAATGTGGGAGACTTTCACGGAAGAGCTGTGTAAGCTGGGGTGTTTAGATGGTGAAGATTGTGCTTCCACTGGCTGTGATTAAGTGCCAGGATATCTCTTTAGAATGAGAATCTAGATTCCCTAGATTCCCCTTCTTTCCTTATATCCTTTCCATACTGACTTTCCCCCCCCTAATTAGGGGCCAAGTCTTTAAAGTTTTGTCAAACTGAGAAGTTATTTGTGTTTACCAGAGTTGGAAGATAAGGTAGTTTTCATGAAAGTGTGAATGTTTTATACCATATCTGTTTTAGGGCCAAATGTTGGTAACTTGAAACCAGCTAAGTGTCTTCTAGACACAAGATCCTGAATACATGGGGCCTTTTTTTTTTTTTTTCCCCTTGCATCCACTTGCAAATTGAATCTCACAAGCCTGAAGTTCAGCCATGAAAATTTGTTTGGCAGCATGAACTGATTTGTACATTAAACTGCAGTGGTTTTTTGTTTTTTTTTTTTGGGTGGGTGTTGTTCTTTCTTTCTTTATTTCATAACAATGTTTTCCTTTTTTTTTTTTTTTTTTTTTTTTTTTTTCTCTTTGGGTTTTTTTTTGGGTTTTTTTTTTTTTTTTTTTTGAGGGGGAGGAGGTAGGATTACAACACCTACAACACACTGTGGTTTCTGTTTGAATATTTAAAGTTTGTGTCTAAAATTAGCACATGTAAGAACTGAAGGAAAAGGTTACATAATTCAATTGAAGTTCTTGGTCATTAGGTGTTTGTTAGACCTTTACTGTGTGTAAGACACAAGTCTAACAACAGAACAGTGCTGACCTGTTAAATTTTTTGTTTTGGTCTTTTTGAGCAGGGTCTCCCTATAGCCCTAGCTGGCCTGGATTCGCTATGGAAACCAGGCTGGCCTCAAACTCACAGAGATCCGCCTGCCTTTGCCTCCTGAGTGCTGGGATTAAAGGCATGAGCCACCACACCCGGCCCTGCTAAATATTTTTTGAAATGGCCAAAATACATTTTATAAGATGATTACTGTTTTTGGTATCGTAACTCTTAGTGGTTTACAATGTCCTTATCTCAGTGCATAAAACTTAAAAATACAAGCAGTAACAAGACCCCAAGGGTTGGGGATGTAGCTCAGTGGTAGAACACTTACCTAGTATGTGCAAGGCCCTGAGTTCCAGCCCCAACACCGAAAAATAAATAAGTAAAACAAAAAAAGAAAGACTCCTGAATTTAAGTAGCTGACTATTTCTAAACTGATTTCATAGACTGCCACTTGGAGAAAGTCTGGAATAAGTGGTGTGTACAAGTAGCACATTAGGAATGAATTTCTGAGCTTTTACAATGGGCCACATTCCTCAGCCTGTTTTTATTAACTAAACATTTTATAATGTATGTGCTATGTTTATTACTTTTTCTTCCTCAGCTAACTGAGTTATGTTCTGTAAGTTGAAAACTAGCTATTCATTATTTATCTTTTGTGGCAATGTGTATTTGTATGGTTGAGTGGGTGGGTATTTTTTGCAGAGGTGCAAAGTGATTGGATTTTTTACTTCCCATTGCCTGGAGCTTTTTTTTAGAAAACATTAATTTTCTGTATATTTTTCCAATTCCCGTGCAAACTGTTCCTGTTTACATACCTGCTCTGTTTTATCAGTTCTTTGATTCTAGTGAGAATATAGTTTACTTAAAATCTGAGAGGGCTTTTCAGCCTTGCCTGTTGTTTTTGCTTTTCAAACCTGTATACTACACTGGGTTTGTAATCTTTGTTTTTGTTAAAATCTAAATTGCTTTGCTGTTTTTCTTCATCCTCAAGGAAGAATACTTTGAATACGCTTAGAAAAAAGAGCAAGGAAGGGTATCTTCCTTATCATCATTTTCTTTGAGTTGGAAACAAATATGAAGGACTACAACTAGAAGATAGACATTTAAATAGATTAGTCGGAAATGTTTCCACTTTTTTCTGTTTCTTTTTATAGAATCAGTTAAGAGACTGCTTGTACTGGGAGCTTGTTTGTAATGTTGCCTTGAAACTACTTTTTATTTTATAAGGCCCGTAGATACTATTTAAACTTTAAATTCTTTAAAGTTGGGTAAACTTTAAATGCTGTAACATTGGGTGGTTTTACCACCATCAGCCATGCTGATGTATAAATGGCAACCCTGCCTACATATTTTAATACTGAAACTTTACATAAAATGCTTTATTTAACAGTTCTATATATATGATACAGTAGTATCTACCTTGCCACTGACCAGTTTCACTTGAGATTTGACACCAGTTAAAGTGGTTTAGGTGGAGAAAGGCACAAAAGCAAGGAGATAAGGGTATCTTTCTCATTGGCAACAGTATCCTGTATGTGGAGAAGTTACTATTCAGAGAAAGGCAGCTTAAGTGGATAATGTTCTGTGTATCACTGTAGTTTCCTTGTGACATTAAAAACTTGTTTCTAATTGTTAAATGCCCAGTTTTGCTCTGTGTTTGCCTGATATTTTAGTATTGTTTTCTAGATGGAGTTATGTCAAAACCAAACCAATCCTTGGGGAGGTTAGATGTGTGTATTTTGGGTCCTCGAGTATGTGATTAGTTTTGTTTCCTTTTTGGTTGAGTTTTCCTCCAGAAGTTTTGAAGTCAGCAATTGTGTGTGTTATTTTAATAAGAAGTGGCTTTATTTTTTTTTCCTCAAGTAAAATTGTGAACACGTTTGCCTTTGGAGGGCAGGGCATGAGGCATGGGTACTGAAAAGTATTGTAGTTGTACTATGTGCCTTCATAATGTGTTTATGGACACAATTTTTTTCTTTCATCAACTTGAAAATTCAAAAGGGACATTTTGGTTAGGTTATATACTGTACACCAATCTATGCATAAATGGCAGCTTGTTTTCTTGAGCCACTATCTAAATTGTTTTTCTGTTTTTATAAATTTTTTATACTGTTTGGGTCATAGATGGTCAGTTTTATACAGAATGAACAGCACAGCACTTTGCCAAAAATAAGTGTAGCATTGCTTAAACATTGTGTATTAATACCAGTTTTTTGTAATTGGGTTCAGTGGTGCATTTTGCACTGCCTCGAGTTATGGTTTTTTAATCTGTCCTTAAATAAAATGTCCTTTAACTTCACACGTGTCAAATTCTTTTATCTTTATGGTCATTAGTCTTGAAAACTACGTACAATTTACTTAAAATACTTGCTGGGTAGTATTGTTTGTCCAACAAATGTTTAATATGCACTTTAAACACTTTTTTAAAAACCTTGTGGAACCAGGCATAGTGGTACACACCTGTAATCTCAGCACTTAAGAACTGCTGAGGCAGGGGCTGCAGAGATGACTCAGTGGTTAAGAGCACTGGCTGCTCTTGCAGAACACCTGGGTTTGATTCCCAGCACCCACATGGCAGGGTGCAACTACCTGTAACTCCAGTTCCAGGTAATCCAACGCCCTTTTCTGACTTCCATGAGCATTTCACAACATGGGTGCACTTAACATACATGCAGGCAAAACACTCATACACATAAAAATAATAAATATTTTTTTAAAAAACTGCTGAGGCAGGAAGATTGTTGCAAGTTCCAGTCAGTTTGGGCTACATAGTGAAGCCCTGTCTTTAAAAAAAAAAAAAAAAACAAAACTTGTGTGAAATTATGTATATACCTATTTTCATCTAAAGTGAGTAACTAAATGAACAGGAATTTGGGATTGATCTCCCCAACTAGTACTTACTTTTCCCTCTAACCAATTGTGGTAGTTTGAATGAAAATGCCCCCATAGGCTCCAAGTATTTGGACATTTTGTCCCCAGATGATGGCACTGTTTTGGGAAGTCTTAGAAGGTGTGGCTATCCTGAAGGAAGCATGTCACTGGGGGTGGGCTCATGTGGGCCCACGCAGTCCAGGAGCAAGTCCACACCCCACTGAGGGCAAGTGCAACAGAGCAAAGACTACTCCAGGAGCGGGTCAGAGGGTGGAACTCAACTTTTATTTTTCAGCAGGCTGTATATATACACATAATCATCCAATAACATGAAAGGACACCCAGTGTGGACCAATGGTAGTAAAAGTCATGCTGATCATGCACTTACATCTACCATTGGGGATCATGCGCTGATCACTCTCCAGTCATGAGGCAGACCAAAGCGCAAAGGAAGCATGATGCACTCTCAGGCTGTCTGTGGGGAAAGGTGTGGAAGGAGGTGTGGCTATGGGGGGTGGGGGGGGGGCACGCCATGTTGATGGCTCAGTTTAAATTCTGATACAGGAAACGGGCCTAAGCTATGAAATGGCCCTGGCAGGGCTAGAATTTGGCCTACAGGTTTAGGGAGTTCTTAAGCCTTGCTGGATCTCCAGTTGCTGTCTTGCTTCCTGTGCCTGTGTGATGATGTGAGACCTTAGCTTCTGCTGCTCCTGCTCCAGCCACCTCCAGCCACCATGCCTCCCTGCCATGACGGACTGTAATTCCCCTGGAACCGTAAGCTCAAATAAACTCTTCCTTCTATAAATTGTTTTGGTCAGTGTTTCTATCACAGCAACAGAAAAGTGACTAATACATCAATCTTTTCTCTTTTGGAGGGGGGACAGTCAGTGGAGTTGGCTTTTTGAGACAGGCTCTGATGTAGCCCTGGCGGCTTTGAACTCTCAAGAGACCTGCCTGCCTCTGCCTCTGCTGGGATTAAAGGTATGTGCCACCACACCTAGCTTCACACTCCACTTTTTATTTTGCTGGGGTACAATCTCACTTGAACCCAGAGTTCTCCAGTTCAGCTAGTCTAGCTTTCAGCTTGTTGTGGGAATCCTGTCACTACCACTCCCACTCAGTATTTTATGTGGGTGCTCCGGTTCCAAACTCTAGTCCTCACACTTGTACAGCAAGTGCTTTACCCACTGAGACATTTTCCAGCCCTCCTCGAGTCTCTTGTTTTGCTCTTGAATAATTTTGTTTGAAAATTGCATCAATAAGGCTGGGCATGATGGCACATGCCTTTAATCCCAGCACTTGGGAGGCAGAGGCAGGTGGATGTCTGTGAGTTCAAGGCTAGCCTGGTCTACATAGTAAGTTCCAGGCCAGCTGAGGCTTGAGGGAGACCCTTTCTCAAAGAGTCCCCTCCCCCCAAAAAAGAAAATTACTAAATTACTTCAATAAACCTTGACCTAAAAGTTTTAAGTAAAACTCAACATTTAACTAAATTAAAACCTGTGTCATAATCAAGTTAAAAAAAAAAACAAAACACATTTTATTAATTGTTCAACTACTTCCCAAAAGGTACAGGTTGGAGAGGAGGCTGGAGACTGAGGACAAGGAGGTATGCATCCGGTTGGAGTGGAGATAAGGGCAGGAAGAGGAAGGAAACAAAGGATGGTGGTAACAGTGCTAGGTACTGGGGATACAAGCAAAACATCAGTCTGTGTACCTCTACCTGCCTGCCCTTTCATGCCAAATTACAAGATGAAAATTATCCTTGTCAAGTATTTGTCAACTATACTCAACTTATATCCTAAAACCAGCCTCTGGAGTTGACACAGGT